TGAGCGAATCCCGTGAGGGGAGAGAGGGACACCGGATGTGTCCATGCATGCCCAAGATCCCAAGAGGAGAATGGAAAAGGGATTGTGGTGTGGCCACCTGGAGGGGGGGTGGTTTCTTACTTTCTGTCTCTGTTTCTCTCTGTCTTTCTGGTGAGCTCATGTGCTCTATTGCAAAAAAAAAAAAAAGCTAAGTGTTCTTGTTGGAAAAAAAAAAAAAAAAAAAAAAAAAAAAAAAAAAAAAAAACAAGGAAGGAAAGAAATAGCCAGTTAGAGGGACCAGCAGAAGGTATAGCAGTTACATCACTAGACTACCACATAGTGGACCGTGGTTCGAGTCCCAGACCAGGTGGCTTGAAACTCATGCCGGGCACGTGTGCGAGCATGCCCAAGATCCTGGGAGGAGTTTGGAGGATAAATAATTGTGGTGTGGCCATCCCCCCTAGGAGTGATTTCTCACTTTCCCTCTCACTGTCTCTGCTTCTGTCTCCACAGTGAGTGCATGCACCAAAAACCTCTCCAAAAAAGCAAATAAAAGAAATAGCCAGTTAGATAAAAATCAGAAAATGTTATCTAGAAATCAACATAGTAAAATAAGGGACCAGCAGTTAGCTTAATGGCTATGTTGCTGGACTCCCATGTAGTCGACTGCGGTTCCTGTCCCGGACCCGGTGGCTTAAAACTCATGCCGGGCGCGTGTGCGTGCGTGCCCAAGATCCCGAGAGGAGAATGGAGGAGAAGGGATTGTGGCGTGGCCATCCCTCCTGGGGGGTGATTTCTTGCTTTCTGTCTCTATGTCTCTCTCTGTCTGGCGAGTGCATGTGCCCTATAGCAAAAAAAAAAAAAAAAAAAAAACTCTCAAAAAAAAATGCGAAGTAAAGAGATGAGAAAATATGACAGACATTAAAAGAAAGAGAGGATGAGGGCCAGCAGGTGGCATGGCAGTTAAAGCATTGGACTCCCACATGACTGACCATGGTTCGAATTCCTGATTTGGCAGCTTGAAAATCATGCAGGGCGTGTGTGCATGTGGGCCCAAACCCCAAGAGGAGAATGGAGGATAAGGGATTGCAGCAAGGCCATCGGTGATTTTTCACTTTCCTCTCACTGTCTCTCTCCAGTGTGTGGATGCACTTTTTGGCAAAAATCCTGAAGTAAAGGACAAAAACAGAGAAAAGGGCTACCATGCACCTACTCAGAGTTGCAGGAGGAGAGCAGAGAAAAAATTTGCAAAAAGGAAACATTTTCCAATATTTCAGAAGAAAACATTTTTGATTTAGGAATCACATTTTCACAGGGGGGAAATTTTCAGGAGTCCACACTTGTGTATGGCCTAGTATAATTGCAGAAATCCAAACTGAAAGCTTTTAGAAACAGCCAGAAAGCATAGACCAATCACCCAAAAGCTGACAGACTGGCTTCTCAACAGAATGGATGGGAGTGGAGTATTAATTTGGATGCACTAAAGTAAAATAATCCTACATGCAATAAAAATATTTTCAAGAATAATCGTAGGGGCCAGCAGGTGGCATACTGGGTAAGGTGCTGGTCTCCTACGTGGTTGACTGCAGTTTGAGTCCTGGACCCAGCAGCTTGAAACTCACTCCAGGTGCTTGTCCATGTGTGCCCAAAATCTCAAGAGGAGAATGGAAGAGGAGGGATTGTGGTGTGGCTATCCCTCTTGGGAGAGTGATTTTTTACTTTCTGTCTCTCTGGCCAGTACATGTGCCCTATAGCAAAAATGTCTCAAAAAAAATAGAAAAAGTGATGATGAAATAAAAATGTTTATGTTTTGGCAAACGAAAATTAAAAGAATTTACAAACAAATATAATTCCCTTACAAACCTTTTGTAAGGGAATTATAAAGGCTAATTTTCAGACAGAAGGAAACTAATCTCAGTTGGAAGGACCAAGATTCAATTTTAAAAATGGTCAGCAAAGATACTAGTAAGATATTAGTTAATTTTTAAAATAATTTTGTTAAATAATTATTTATTTAACTTTATTTATTCATTCATTTCTTTTTAATTTTACCAGAGAGAAATACAGAAAGAGAGAGAGAAGGTGAGAAAGCAAGTCACCAGGTCTGGGATTCAAACTGTGGTCCACTGTGTGGGAGTATCCAGTGCCTTAACCACCACGCCACCTGCTGGTTCCTATGTTGGTTAGATCTTAACAAACACTGATTGCATAAAACAGTAATAATGATTAATTGGTGGAGTTTATTAAACAGAGGAGCACAAAAGAAGGGATAACAATAGCATAGAAATTGAGAGATGGCAGACTGCAGCCACAGTCTTCCAAGTGTTTTTGTTTGCTCGCTTTTTGAATGAGGCTATTAGCCTTAATTCATTTTAGATTTGGCTGGCTAAAATATGGATGTTAAATGGTTAGAGTGACCCTAAGAACTTGCCATGGAATATGCCAGCTCACAAACAGATAGAAAGAAAAAGGGGAAAAGCAGTGAGAAAAGAAAGACAAAATCAATCATTTGAAAGAAGGAAAAGTGAAAAAAAAAAATGAAAAAGGAGAGGTTTTGTTTTGGGTCATGGCAAACTAGTTCCTATCAGACCAATACTCATGCAGATAACTATGAGAAACTCTGGACAAAATATTAAAAAAAAAAAAAAAAAACCCTAGGCCCAGTCACAGTGGGGCAGTTAGTAGGAATGACAGGGTGATACTGGAGCTCCCTGGGAAGCCCAGGTTCAGATCTCGGGTCGACCTGAATGTACCTGGTGCTCCTGCACGCCCGTGACCCTGACTGAGGCTGTGAAGAGGGTCGTGGTGGGGAGAGACTGGTCAAGGGGACTCGTCTCTCTCTCTCTCTGTCTTTCTCTCTCCCTAAAGAAAAAATACCACTAAAAATGAAAACATAAAAACGGGGGCTACCTGTAGCTTAGTGGTTAAGGGAGCTGTATCCCACATGGTCAGTTGAGCAGTTCAAGTCCTGGTAGCTTGAAAAACACTGGGCACATATGTGTGTGTGCCCCAAGTCCCAGCAGGTTGGAGAAATGGAGGAGAAGGAATTGTGGTATGACCATGTCCCATTGAGGGGTGCTTTCTCTGTCTCTCTCTCGTGAGCATATCCACATTTTGGCAGTTAAAAATAAAAATAATAAAACCCAGCCAACGTGGGGGCCCAGCAAGTGGCATGGTGGTTGAGGTGTTGGATTCTCACTCGAACTATGACCTACTATAGTTTGAGTCCTGGACCTGGCAGTTTTTTCTTTCTTTCTCTGTGTGTGTGTCTCTCTCTCTGGTGAATGTACATATTCTATAGCAAGCTGAAAAAAAATTAAATGAAATAAGTAATTTAATTTACCAAGGAGCTTGGATGTGACCCTGTCAGCAGTGGGAAGGCATTGAAGGTGTTACGGCAAATGAGTTGTCAGGGAAGCTCCCTGACTGCAGGTCGCAGTAGCTAGGAGAGGGCAGCACCTGCTCTGGGGGACATTATGTAGAAGACCAGCCAGAATTAGGTCTCCAAGGTTGAGGACCTGAACTGAGACTCAGACTGTGAGGTTGGAAGGCCAGATAGACTTGGAGATAACTTTGAATAACTTGGTGGTTAATTACCTGCAGGAGGCTAGGGAAGGAGAAAGAAGACTTAAAAGGGTTCCCAGGAGAGGCTTATATGGAAGCTAGAGTGAGTGAGGGGCCTCTGGGTTGAAGCAGAAGCAAGTCTGAGGGGAGAATCTTTGCTAAGAGAGAGAACAGCTGGCTATGTTTGTAGCCCATGGGGAAGACGCAGGTGGAGGAAGAATTCTGGAGAATACACAGCTGTGAAGCAGCAGGAAGAACGGGAGCTGCAGGGGCTAGTGAAGCAGCAGGAAGAACGGAAGCTGCAGGGGCTAGGTGTGGACAGGAGAGGGAAGAAGGTTGGTGCAGGAAGGACGAGACCCCAGGTGGACAGGAGGGAATTCAATTGAGCATCAAGAGAATTGCATCGGCTGCTAATGTGAGGTCACTGCCGAGCATGGACAGGTACCTAGAGGTGGGGATTGAACCTGATGAGGCTCGTTTCTGGGCAGCGTATCTCAGAACAAACAATGGGGTGTACTTAAAACGAAGTGAACGGGAGAGTTTTTGACCTAGGTGAGTGGGCGGGCAGTATGGCTTCCACTGTCATTTTGTAAAGGAAGCTTTTCTATCTACTCACTGGTAATCTTAATTAGCTTAGTTATTGCTCATCTTTAAGAAGACTTCCTCTACAAGATAGCAGAGTCCTCATTTCCTTATCACAGACTCTAGATTACACAGCCCTTGTCACCCAGCCCTCTGCTCCTCCCTCTTCTCAGCGCTGTTATCTGTGCCTGGAATGAAAGCCAGGGTGGAGTAGGAGAAAGATCAAGGTCTTGGCACACGCGCAGAGGCTAGCATCCTAGCCCTAGCCGTGACCCTGGGCCAGTATTTGCCCTCTATGGGTCTCATTTCCTCATCAGACCACTGATTCCAAAGCCTTTATCATTCAAGGTAAAGACTTATAAAGTCAGGACCAGCAGTTGGCGTAACGGCTATGTTCCTGGACTCCCATGCAGTCGACCGTGGTTTGAGTCCCGGACCTGGCAGCTTAATTTCACGCTGGGCGCGTATGTGTGCATGTCCAAGATCACAAATGGAGAAGGGATTGCGGCATGGCTATACCTGCTGGGGGGTGATTTCTTACTTTCTTTCTCTCCGTCTCTCTCCATCTTTCTGGCAAGCACACACATCCTATAGCAAAAACCTCTCCAAAAAAAAAAAAAAAAAAAGAGTTATAAAGTCATATGGTGAGGGGATATTACAGAGACTTCCATGCCAGGTAAAGAGCTCAGTCTTGATTTGAAGTTGTGGAGGGTCTCAAGGTAGAAACGGCTCTAAAGGACACCTCTTTTGCTTCTCTCCACTGCCAAGCAGGAGCAGGGGCCTCATTGGCCAGGAGACTTCCAGGTCATGGTGACCTCACAAAGAACATAACACCAGCCTGGGCTGGGGGAGCCTAGGTAAGCTGAGGGGAGCTCTGGGACAGTCCCAGGGGTGGGGGTAGCCTCCACAGTCTCTGCAAGGCAGTTACCACCTTGACCCCCCACCCCTCACCCGGGTGAAAGTCTCCCCTCTGGCTGTAATTCCACAGTTAGAACTTCATACCTTTGGCTTAAAGAATTTTCTGTTACCATGTGGATGCCCCAGGTCGAGGTAACACATAGAACTTTACGTCAGCAGCTCGAGGCTCACTGAGCAAGAGTTGAGCTCTCAGGCCCTGAGTACGGTGGGTAGTTTGGGGGAGGTGAGAGGGAAGGTGACCAGACCCAGTGAGGGAGTACCAAGGACTGGGGTAAAGGGAAGACAGAAAACCTGGAAACTAGAATTTGTCTTTTTCATAAGACCCCCACCTCCTGTTCTACCCTCACCCAGGGGAGGAGGGGGTGGTGGGGATGAATGTCTATTGAAGACCTCCTGTGGGCCAGGCGCTGCGATCAACCCTATCCATGCATTCTCCTAGCTGAAGCGTTAGGATGGTGTTGGGTGGTGAGGCCACCTGCACAGGTCCACATGGCTGTGAGAGACAGAGCAGATCTGAATTCAGGTCTCTGACTCCGAAGTCCTGAACTGTGCATCGTAGTTGGACATCAGGATGCTTGCCTTGTTTTCCTGGACTTTTCCTTTAGGGTAGAAGCCTCAGAGTGACAGAAGGGGAATGAGAGACAAGGAGACCACACTGCAATCACTTCTCCATCCTCATCTCAGGATCTTGGGCACGCACACACACGTGCCTGACATACGTTTTAAGGTGCCAGGCCTGGTACTTGAACTCTGGGTCGACTCTGTGGGAGTCCAGCAACAACATAGCCATTACACCATCTGCTGGTTCCTGTGTGTGTATGTTTAATTATTTATTTTATTTCATTTAATTTTATTATTATTGTTATTTTTAACTTGCTATAGTTATCAGAGAGAGACAGAGAGAGGGAAAGTGAGAGAGCAAGCTGCCAGGTCTGGGATTTGAACCATGGTTGACCATGTGGGAGTCCAGTGCCTTAACTACCATGCTACATGCTGGCCCCAAGCCCTTACTTTTTATTTTTTTAAAGAATGATTTTATTTAACTTTATTTAAATTTGACCAGAGAGGGAAAGAAGAGAGAGAGAAAGGGAAAACGAGAAAGCAAGGCACCAGGTCTGGGACTTGAACCGTGGTCAGAGCATGTGGAAGTCCAGTGCCCTTAACCACCATGTCACCTGCTGGCCCCCTGCAAATCATTACTTCTTCTTTTCTTTTTTTTTTTTTTTTTTGAGAAGTTTTTGCTATAGGGCACGTGTGCTCACCAGAAAGACAGTCAGAGACAGAAAGTGAGAAATCACCCCCCAGGGGGGATGGCTGCACCGCAATCCCTTTTTCTCCGTTCTCCTCTCAGGATCTTGGGCACACACACACATGCATACTCTGTGTGAGTTTAAGCCACTGGGTCTGGGACTCAAACCACGGTCTACTACATGGGAGTCCAGCAAGATAGCCATTACGCCAATGGTCCCACCATCACTTCTTTAAATGCCTTTTTAGCATTCTTTCTCTTCTCTTTCTGGAAGAAATAAAAATTTAGGTATTTTGTTATTGTCTCACAGTGCCTGAGGTTTTCTCTCTTTTTTTTCTGTTTTCTCTTTCTTGTCTAGATTAAGCAAATTTTATTGATCTGTCTCCAAGTTTACTGATTCTGTCTTCTGTTATCTCTGCTTTATTATGGAATCTATCTCAAAATTTTTAAAAGTTCAGTTATTAGGGGCCAGCGGTGGCATGGTGGTTAAGGCCCTGGACACTCCTACATGGCCCACCACAGTTCAAGTCCCGGATCTGGTGGCTTGCTTTCTCACTTTCTCTCTCTCTCTCTCTCAGGTCAAATTAAAATGAATGAATAAAATAAAATAAATAATTAAAAAATTCAGTTATTAGGGAAGAGAGAAGTAGGGAGTTGTTCAATGGGTACAAAGCTTCAGTTATGCAAGGTGAATAAGGTCTAGAGGTTTGTACAGCATAGTGCTTATATTTAACAATATGCTATTGTGTATTTTAAACTACGTTAGGACATATCTGGGAGACTGGCAGATGGCATAATGGTTATGTTGCTGGGCACCCATGTAATCGACCATGGTTCGAGTCCCAGGCCTGACAGATTAAAACTCATGCCAGGCACGTATGCATGCATACCCAAGATCCTGAGAGGAGAATGAAGGAGAAGGGATTGCGGCATGACCATCCCCCCTGGGGGGTGATTTCTTGCTTTCTGTTTCTCTCTGTCTTTCTGGCTAGCACACATGCCCTATAGCAAAAACCTCTAAAAAAAACAAAAATAAAAAGAGTTATAAAGTCATATGGTAAGGGGATTTTTATAGAGAGACTTCCATGCCAGGTAAAGAGCTCAGTCTTGATTTGAAGTGAGGTCCTCCATTCTCCTCTCAGGATCTTGGCATGCACACACACACACTCCTGGGATGAGTTTTAGGCTGCCAGGTCCGGGACTCCAACCTTGGATGACTATGTGGGAGTCCAATGATGTAACCATTAAGCCATCTGCTGGTGCTTTTTTTTTTTTTTTTTTTAAGATAAATTTTTGCTATAGGGAGCTTGTACTCGCTGGTGAGACAGAGAGAGAGACAGAGGGAGAGAAAGCAAGAAATCACCCCCAGGGGTGATGGGCGTGCTGCAATTCCTTCTCCTCCATCTCCTCTCAGGATTTTGGACACACACATACACACGCCCGCTGTGAGTTTGAAGCTACCGTGTCCGGGACTTGAACCGTGGTCAGCCACATGAGAGTCCAGCAATGTAACTATTATGCCATCTGCTGGTCCCAAACAAAGATAATCTTAACATAACCAATGAAAGAAGAATTTGTAATTTCCCACGTAAAAGACTGGGAGATGAGTTTATATTCTGAAATGATCTGTGCTATCAATCATTGGTCCAGTTAGGTACGGATGAAATTGTAATAGCAATAGCTCAGGAGGAAGAGATAATAAAGCCAGCGATTTAGTGATTTATAGGTTTTACAAAGTTCTTAGCCTTCTTTTTTTTTTTAAGAGGTTTTTGCCTTAGGACAATTCTCACCAGCAATGTCCGGGAGTTCTAATTTCTCCACATCTAATTTCTCCACCACTTAACTGTTTTCTCTGTAAAAAATTACAGTCATTTGGGACCAGCAGATGACATAATGGCTATGTTGCTGGACTCCCATGTAGTTGACCATGGTTTGAGTCCTGGACCCGGTGGCTTAAACTAATGCTGGGCGCGTTTGCATGCATTCCCGCCCAAGGTCCCGAGAGGAGAAGGGATTGCTGCATGGCCATCCCCTTGAGGGGTGATTTCTCGCTTGCTGTCTCTCTGTCTTTCTGGCAAGCACACTTGCCCTATAGCAAAAACCTTTCCAAAGGAAAAAAAAGTTATAGTCATTCTAGTGACTGTAAAATGGTATTTATTTGTAGTTTTGATTTTCATTTCTCTAGTGACTAATGAACTTGAATATATTTTTCTTTTTCTTTTTTGTGTAGAGGTTTTTGCTATAGGGCACATGCACTCGCCAGAAAGACAGAGAGAGACAGAGAGACAGGAAGCGAGAAATCACCCCCCGGGATCATTGGCATGCTGCAATCCCTTCTCCTCCATTCTCCTCTCGGGATCTTGGGCACGCACACACATGTGCCCGGCATGAGTTTAAGCCACCGGGTCCGGGGCGTGAACCGCGGTAGACTACATGGGAGTCCAGCGACAGAGCCATTATGCCCGGAAGATAATTTTTTTTGGAGCTAGCCTAAACACAGGAACTCTTACAGAGCAGATAATTCTAAGATCCAGCCCCAAGGCAGTGAAAGCTGGAGTACGGTATGGCAGTGGTGATGGAGAGAAGGGGGGAGATTCGAGAGCTGTTCTGATGCCAGAACGATCAGAACTTGGCCAAGACTGGGTGTACCGAGTAAGAAAGTGAGCAGTCAAGGGTGGTAGCAGTCAAGAGTGGTACTGACTGCTTTTGGCTTGGATGATGGTGCCAGTTTCTTTCAATGGTAGAGAATAAGAGGCTCTTATTTCGGGGAAAAATGGAGAGTTCTGTTTTGGATTCTGAGGTGCCCTATGTCAGATGTTTTGTGTGTGTGTGTGTGTGTGTGTGTGTGTGTGCGCGTGTGCGTGTGCGTGTGTGTGTACTCATACAAGCGCCTCACACATTCCAGGACCATGTGTCTGACCAATGTGTTCTCACTAGAACTGGAAGATCCACAGATAGCTCCACCCTTTGAAGGCTCTAGCAACCCTTGTCCAGAACCCAGAAGGCGTTATTGAGGTTGGAGGAAAGGATGGCAGTTAGTCAATGATTCGCTTATTATTATTATTATTATTTGGAGGTTTTTGGCTAGAAGGACAGAGATTGACAGAGAGAAAGTGAGAAATCACCCCCGCAGGGGGGATGGCCACACTGCAATCCCTTCTCCATTCTCCTCTCGGAATCTTGGGCACGCACGCACACACACCTGGTGTGAGTTTAAGCCACTGGGTCCGGGACTCGAACAGCGGTCGACTACATGGGAGTCCAGTGACAGCCATTATGGCAACTGCTGGTCCCGATTCCCTTATTTTTGAACAGGACTAGCTGTTTCATGGTGGTACTCCGCCCTCCCCACTTGAGCCAAAGACCAGTAGAAGCTGTGGCTGTCAGTAGTAAATAGTGAGCTCTTTTTAGCTCCCATGGATCCCACCCAAATCCCTCAACAGCCTCTGCTCCTTTCAGTGCACACTGTTCATTTGGTGGAGGGAAAGCTGTGGCTGCCCCAGTCCTGGTCAGGAAATTCTGAAGCCTTGCCTGTCTGTTGTAGGGTGGAGGAGGAGGATTAAGGGAATGGGAGACTATGGGGGAAATCTCATCTTTTCTTATGGAAGGGCCAGCATTGAGACTGTGGCCATCTGCCCAGTCACTTGTATCTGCCGGGTCAGCGGGGTAGAGATTTTTCCATCTTTCATAACCCTAACCAGTACAATCTTCTAAGGTCCTATTTGCTGCCTTGTTAATAATGGCACCAGCTCATATTCTTCCAGGCTGAAAATCCTTTTTAGTTTTGCTATAGGGTGTGAGCACTCACTGGAGAGATAAAGAGAGAGAGAGAGTGAGAAATCGCCCCTTGGCGAGAATGGCCATGCCACAGTCCCTTCTTTTCCATTCTCCTCTCAGGGTTTTGGTCACACACACACGTACTCAGCATGATTTCTAAGCTGTTGGGTCCGGGACCTGAACCGTACAGTCAGCCATATGGGATCCAGCCTCCTTAACCTCCATGCCATGTGCTAGCCTGAAAATGCTTCCTTTTGATAACTACGGCATATGAGTATGTGCAGTCAACCTAACAATGTAAACTGAGGCAAACCATATAAAGCAAAAGGCGTTTATTTGGGCATAGACATGAGGACTACAGTGACATACTTCAGGTCGCCATTAACATGCTGACAGAGGTCTTCCATTCCTTGGACAGGATTTAAAGGCAAAAACCACTAACTGGAGGAGAGGAGGGAGAGGGGACTATGCGAGTTTGGGTATAATCTCCTTGGGTACAATTCTCCTTGGCTACCAGGGTCAGTTGCAAAGGTGGCATCAATCCAGGGTTGGACAGGCAGTCTCTGGGCACATGTTTTTGCAGTAGTCCTTGTGTGGAGGTGCAGTAGTCTTTGTACAAGGTCATGGTTCTGGCTGTGTTCTTTATTTATTTATTTATTTTTGGAGAGGTTTTCGCTATAGGGTGTGTGCGCTTGCCAGACAGAGAGAGAGAGATAGAGACAGAAAGAGAGAAATCAACCCCCAGGGGGGATGGTCACCCCGCAATCCCTTCTCCTCCATTCTCCGCTTGGGATCCTGGGCACACACACACACACGCCCGGCGTGAGTTTTAAGCCACCGGGTCCAGGACGCAAACCGCAGTCGACTACGTGGGAGTCCAGCGACATAGCCATTACGCTAACTGCTGGTCCCCTGGCTGTGTTCTTTAAATAGCAGTTCTTCTTAGGCATGCTAGCATGAGAATAAAACTCCTCCATGGCCTTTCTGGCTTGGTTTAGTCAAGGTTGCTACAAATGACTCCATTTTGATTTTGATAAACTTTCTCGGTACATGGGTTGGAAAGGTGATCAAAGGGAGATCTAGGCCCCTCATTAAATAAAGACAGACAGGGACCAGCAGTTGGCATAATGGCTATGTCACTGGACTCCCATGTAGTCCACAGCGGTTTGAGTCCCAGACCTGGAGGCTTAAACTCACATGTGTGCATGTGTGCACAAGACGAGACCCCAAGAGGAGAAGGGATTGCGGCATGGCCATCCCCACCAGGGGGTGATTTCTCACTTTCTATCTCTCTGTCTCTGTTTTTCTGGTGAGTGCACATGCCCTGTAGCAAAAAAAACTCTAAAAAATAAATAAAAAATAAAGGGAGACAAAATCATGAATACGAAAGTAATTTCAGAGCTTTGGAGGGGAGCTGTGAAACCAAGGAGTCCTCACATTTTATATTCTTTAGCTTTAGGGTAAAATTGTGTCTGGTGCTGATGGTAAATGAGCCTCTCTGCTTCCAGGACAGATAGAAAGCTTTGTAGGAACCATTTGCAGTCTAGGGGACCCAAAATGCTGTTAATATTTGAGCTGTAGGGGCCAACAGGTGGCGTAGTGAAGGCTCTGGACTCCCACGTAGTCATCCATCGTTTGTGTCTTGGACCCAGCAGCTTAACACTCACACTGGGCACATGTGTGTGCATGCCCAAAATCCTGAAAGGAGAATGGAGGAGAAGGGATCGTAGGGTGGCCATCCCTCTGGGGGGGGGTGATTTCTCGCTTTCTGTCTCTCTGATGAGACCACATCCCCTATAGCAAAAATCTCTCTCTCAAAAAAAAAATAAACAAAAACTTTGAGCTGACACTTGAAGGGATAAAGCACTAGTTCAGGAAGGGGAGAGAAGAAGGGGTACCCAGCCTGTGGGAGCCCAGCCCTAATTGGAGAAGCTTGACTCTTTGGAGCAACTTGAAAGGGTTGAGCAAGGGTTGAATAGAAACGGGAAGGGAAAATATGGAGTCAGAAGGAGACTGGGGTCAGATACGAAAAGGTCTTTTAGATCTTGCTAACAATGGGGGACTTTGTCCTAAAGGTAGTGAGATGCCATGGAGGGGCAGGAGTGGCATAGAGAGGATCCTAGCTGCCTGGAGGGCCAAGGGGTGACTAACCCTCCTCTCCTTGACCTTCACTTCCTAGTGTATACCAGGCGCAGTGAAATCTAACTTCCAGGAGTGTGTGTGTATGTGTGTGTGTGAGCAGAGGATGTTGGTTAGCAGACGTGCCTGCCTGGCCTTTAGACCATTCGGCAAGTGTTGAAAAATCCACTCTTCCTGTCTGACTTGGTTTCCTTCTTCATCTCCTCCCAGGGGCCCACTCCTGCTTAAAAACACCATGCGTGCAGGTGAGCTGTCCCCAGCTTCCACAGGTGTGAGGGTGGCATGGGGTGGGGGTTGGCGAGTTCCCTCATAGTTAGGCTGCTGGGGGAAGCAGGCTCCGATTTGGATGGTTGCCCCATGTTCTCCTCCACATAGCCTGTCTCACCAGACACACGAACTGTGGAGGGCTCTGAGCAGCTCTGGCAACCCTTCATTGGGCATCTAGGGCCCTGCCACGTGCAGGGTGGTCATGGCAAGGAGTTCTAGGACTTTGCCTTTGGTCTAGAGCACGGAGTCTCCCAAGGCTTACAGATGCTTGTTGGTGGACTTCAGGCACCTCACACATGGCCCTCTAGAAGCAGGGTAACCTGTAGGGAGGCTCCTCCTTCCTGTTTTTATCTTTATTATTGACTTTGTAAAAACTAAAAATTCTCACCAAAGAGAGACAGAGAGAAGGAGAGAGAGAGAGAGCACCCTCCAATGGGACCTGATAATGCCACAATTCCTTCTCCATTTCTCCAGGATGAATTTGGGATACATGTGCCCAGTATATTTTTCAAACTACCAGGGCTAAGATTTGAACTTTGGTTGGCTGGGTGGGATCTGGCTTTCTTAACTGCTAGGCTACAATGCTGATTCTTTCTTCCCTTTTTCTAACTTAAAGTGGAAGAGGTGTTTTGTTTGTTTGGTTGGTTGGTTTTGGGTTTTTGTTGTTATTATTTTGTCATGGGACTCATGTGTTCACCAGAGAGAGACAGAGAGAAGGAAAGTGAGAAATCATTCCCCAGGGGATATGGTCACACTGCGGTCTCTTCTCCATTCTCCTCTTGGGATTTGGGGCATACATGCAAACACTCCTGGTGCAACTCCCAAGTCACCGTGTCCGGGACTCAAACCCTGGTGGCCTATAGGAGAATCCAGCACCTTAGCCTGCTGGCCCCATGGAAGAGGTTCTTACTTGTTTAGTTTAGACTTGCAACTGTGTGTCTGGCACTGCACTAGCAGCTGGCATGCCCTGGGGACCAAGGTATACACAGTTTATGCATGGTGGAGCTCATCATGGCGGAGCTCATCATGGCGGAGCTCATCATGGCGGGCGGAGCTCATCATGGCGGAGCTCATCTCTAGCAAGGACTGGGCACCAGCCAGTCATTGGAATAAACTGTGGGGAGTATCTTGCTAGGAGAAGTGGGACTGGGAAAAGGATAATGGGAGGAGGTTCAGAACCAAGGGGAGTTGTCCTTATCCAAGGCCATGAGCTGGGAGGGAGAAGGTTGTGGTCAAGGAAGGGAGCACTGGGATATGGCTTAAAGGGGACAGCGGCTCATGATGAGGCTGGGAAGGTGGCTGGGATGGTCACTAAGGCCCTTGCAAGCCACAGCAAGAGGTCTTCCTTCTATGGACAGTGGGGGCCATAGGAAGTTTTAACCAGCATGGCCGCGTGTGTCTGCTCTCTCTCTCAGAGTATTGTAGGGAGCTCGGTAGTCAGCCATTGGAGAGAAGGGGGCAGCGGCACTGAGAGACCGCCAGACCGGACATGGCCTTGACTCCAGGGCCTGATCTGCTCCTCCATGAAGACCCGAAGATGACACCTAGTCTCACCTCCTTTGCAGCCCCAGGTTTAGGCTCTGGTCCAGTCCCTGAGCCCAACCCAGATATGGCCCTGGTTCCGATCTCGAATTTACCCCTACGTCCTGGCTTGGCTCTTCTTCCAGACCTCAGTCCAACTTTGAGTCCCATCTCAGAGGGTGCCCCCAGACTGGTGTCTGATGACACCCTCATCTCTGATGACAGCAAGGCCTTGGCTCTGGCCTCCCTCCTGATCCCCAGTGCCTGCTCTGCTGAAGCCCTGGATCTGAATTCTGACCACATCTTGAGGCCCAACTCACAGGGACCCCTCTGTCCGGCCTCAAACCCCATTCTGGGCCCTGGCTCTTTTGAGGCCACTGGTGTGAGTTCAGGGAACCACTCCAGGTCAAACGCTGAGGAGGCCAAGTGCCACTCGAGCAAGATTTTTGATTTGGGTCAGAGTAACTCCAATCCTTCCAGGCCAGAAACAAACCCGTTTATAAGGCCCCAGTCAAGAGAAGCCCTAGCTCTGGGCCAGCATGTCTCCAGGCTGGGCTCCAAGGCGCTCCTCATTCCAGCCTCAGACACTTTCCCGGACCCTGACTCCCATCAGCTGCTCAGCGTTGGCTCAAAGACCATCTCCAAGCTGAACCTGAATGCGGCTCCAGATTCTTACAAGACCCTAATCCCAGACACAAACCAGTACATCACTTTGGCTCCCCATAACATCTCTGGGTCTGTGTCAAAAGGAACGTTTGGTGCAACCTGGAGCTCCAGTTCCAAGGGAACCATCAGTGCGGCTGCAAATGACCACCCCAGATCAGATCTGAACATGACCGTCACTCAGGCCTCGTGCGTGACCCTGATTCCCGGCTCCAGCGACAGCCGCCACTCCAGCACCCACAGACCCAGCTCCGACATCTCTCCCCACTCCTGCATGACCTTGATCCTGGGCTCCAACGAGACTCTGAGCCTGGGCTCCAGCCTCATGTTCAGCGACACCTCCACCTTGACGCTGAGCAGCCAGCAGGATTATTCCGAGGACAATAGCATCCACACCGTGCCCTTGGAGGAGAACCTGGGGAGCTGGGGCGAGATGGCCGGCATCGAGGTGGGCCACTTCCCGCTGCGGCTGCCCATCTGCAACACCACTGACACGGACACCACGGCCTTCCAAAGCAGCCCTGAGAGTGAGTGAGGCAAGGGTGGCAGCCCCGAGAGGGCACTGACCTGGGAGGACAGTGTATTCAGACATGTGGGGCAGGGAGGGGAGAGGGGAGGAAAGAGGAAGGGGCTCGTTCATGACAGATCACATACACCAGGTGACACCTTCAAAGAGTTTGTGGAAGTGGAATTAAAGAAGGTTTATTTTGGCTCAAAAATTTTTGACATCCAATGCATGTTTTTTTCAATAATACACATTTTCCACAAACTTTTTGAAGACCGCCATAGCGGTGAGATATTCATTACACACAAGAGATCTGGTATCCAGCCTCCGCCAGCTGTGCAGTTCGGGGCAAGCGTCTTCATCTCCCGGAGCATCAGCGTTCTTAACTGTAATGGCAGCACGTAATAGACTAGTCTGTCCAGATTACGTCTGTTAGCTGACGGCATCTTGCATTAGAAATGTGCGCCTCTTTCTTTCCTCATAGCTTCAGACTTGACTTCTTGTGCCAACGCTTACCAATGAGGCAGGCGAGGCTCCCTGCCCAGCTCACCTCTATTGAGATTTTTAAATTTATTGTTTTATTTTTGGAGTTTTTTGTTTGTTTTGTTTTTGCTATAGGGCACACATGCACTTGCCAGAAAGACAGAGAGAGACAGAAATCGAGAAATCACCCCTCGGGGGGATGGCCACACCACAATCCCTTCTCCTCCATTCTCCTCTCAGGATCTTGGGCACGCACGCACACGCGCCCAGCGTGAGTTTAAGCCACCGGGTCCGGGACTTGAACTGCAGTCAACTACATGGGAGTCCAGCGGCATAGCTATAACACCATCTGCTGGTCCGCATATCTTATTTTTTAAATATGGTTTCTTTTTGGCATTGATGATGCTCATGATGTAGGG